CAAGGAATTTTGCGGAAACTTAAAGCCATCCTGCCCGACCTGGGCTATCCTCTTTAACGGTAACGATTTGGAAGAGGCTGCGAAATGGTCCCTGGATGGAATCACTACTTACAGCGTTATGGCTGCGAAAGTGGCGAACGAGCTCGCAATCCAATCCGACGCCTTCATTCTCACCTGGTTTTGCGCCAAATTGGACCGCCATTCTGCAGAGAGATACCGCCCTCAAGCAATGATGGCTAGCCTTGTATGCCAACTTCTGGATAAAATGATGAAAGAAAACATTGAACTCAACCTCGGCGCCAAACCAATCGTACGAAGATGCGAAAGAGAACAACTGAAACGTCGTGATATGAACATCCTTTGCCGAGTATTTGTTAGACTCGTAAAAAAGCTGCCTGCGGGGAAAAGGGTGTTCTGCATTCTCGATGAAGTTACCTTCTGCGAGAAGCCGAAGTTGGAGCGCGATCTATACATGGCTTTGGACTTACTGAAGCATCTTTCTGGGACGCAGACGCCGAAGGGGGATAGGGTTCTTGGACTTATGCTGACGTCTCAGGCTGAGGTCTCGCAAATGGTGGCTACAGGAATTGTCGAAATACTACATTATGGTACGTACAGACCAGAGTGGGCAGATCTCTTTGAACAAGAACTTTGTCATCGATTTGAGGGACCGGCCTGGATGCGAGATCCTTATCGCTGTGGTCATCCAGGATGCAGATAAAATAGATCTATCCTTCGTTTCTCCTGTCCATGTATGACAGAGTTAGGTACCTTGAACACGAAATCATCAAATGGAATGAGTCAGCAAGCCAGAAGGCTTTTGGATTGCCTAACTACTTTTGGAGTAAAACGACTGGCTTTTTCTCCTTGTTCTTCCAAAATCGATCCCCAAATCTCATTCTCAGGGTGAAGCTACTGCACCGTTGCATATATCCACCACTAGGCGTCGAACCCCGAATTTCAGTAGACCTCCCGAATAAGATGTGAAAATAGGTGACCATTGAGACCACTTAGCAACGATCCCAGCGAGCGACGACGGTCCAGTTATCCTTGTGGAAGGCGCGACCGCTGACGAGAGTGCCAACACCGCGGTAGCACTTCTCAATGACGTAGTAGGCGCCATCGGAGATCTTCTTGAAAGAGTTGAGGGTCTTCGCCTTGCTGTCCTGTATTGTTCTCACATTGTTAGTCTTGTCGTTGATATCACAAAGCATTGGAAGGAAGCATCCACTTACCATGTTGCACCAGTAGATGGCAGAGTTATAGCTGCAGCTGACACGGCCACAGCTGCCGGGGCCAGGGCCGCGGGTGGGCTTTCCCTTGACATCGAGAAGGTAGCGGGCACCCTGGGCAAGGCGCTTGCGATCGGCATCGTCGTAGCCGGCGCAGTTGACGGGGGCGTCCTTGAAGGTATCGTCGGCCTGGGTGACGGCGGACTCGATAGCGGCGTCGATGGCCTTGGTGGAAGTGAGAGAGGTGATGCCGAAGTCCTGGTCGTAGTTGGGGTTGATGGTGCGGAGCTCTTTGAGGACCTCCTCGACGGTGCCGGTGAGGGTGAGGTTCTCACCGCCTGGGTGGGCCTGGACATCCCACTCGATGGCCATGAGGTCGAAGCCCTCGACGCCCATGGGGCCGTTGACGTCCTTGTCAACAGTCGCGCCCTGTTATTCTGAGTGTCAGTTGCATTTGAAATTTCTGTGAAGAAAACATGTTGCAAAAAATTACCTTGACGGCCATAGCGGCAAGAGAGAGGAGGGAGATGTTCTTGATCTGCATCTTGACGGTTGGAGTGTGGATTGATAGTGCGGGTGGTGTTCGGTGGGGTGAAGTTGGGATCTGGTTATGATACGGAAGTTTGTGGTGGAGGAAAAAGAGATAAGATTCACTTGTGCGGCATAAAGGGTGGTATTTTATATTGGGCAGGTGAGTATTCGATCACCCACCTCCATATTCACACAGCGACCTCACGATGCCCTCTACTTTTACACCTCAGGCTCCCGGCGCTGTCTTCACCTATCACAGCAGAGAAATCACGTGAAGTTCGGTTCCATTTCTAGCTTTTGATCTCCAACAAAGGAAGGAAGTGTCTTCAAGGATCGATCGGGCTTTCCCATTGAGATCTTCGGAACAATGGCCAAGGAAGCGATTTTGTGAACACAACATCATGCTAAAGGTATTCCACACCACGGCAGGAGCGTGTGTGTGCTCACCCAAGATCCACTGCGGTTTGGATTTGGACCGCCGACTCACAAACATGTTTGATTGGTACCTTTAGCAAACCTAGCCAAGTTTGCCCAGGTGATCTAGACCACCTCGACCACTCGGTACCACTTTGATGAGAGCATTGGCAGTGATACCACACTACTTTATATACAAGCCATGTATGCTCGCTTGCGCACTCGTGATGTCTTGGAAGATGTTTCAGTTTTAGTCCACTCAGCGTGTCACTCAAACCTCGTGGTCATGACGAGGACATACTTGCCGTTGAACATCTTACCATGATTGTGAGATCTGGACGTGTGTGACACATGGACGACACGAAGAGACAATGGAGATCTTGGAGATTGCCAGTTCGTCTTTTGACTAGTATCGAAGCTAACAAACAAACAAACCAAGAACCCGTTCATGGACAGAAAGAATAGAAGAAACACCAAAAATTCTACCGAGATCTTGCATTCAAGACTCCTTGGCCCACTGCTTTCCACTCCAAAGCTTCCCCGTCGTCCACAGCCAGTAATCCCGGCCCTTGATCATCCACACGATAAAGCTGGGCAGCCGATATCCCATGGCGGCCCCGACCCCCTTGCTCTTTCCCACCGGAACCAACTGAGTCTCACGGACGTCCTCCTCGAATAGTCTATCCTTGTCACTGGCGCTCTCCGGTCTTTCAGAAGCCAGCAGTAGGTCCCGCTTGATGTTGGCGCACATGATCGGAACCGCACTCAGAATGTTGTGAATAGCTGGCCTGGCGAACGAAGACGCGTCGCCGATGGCGTAGACGCGGGGCCCAGCTAGATCAACGCGAAGAGTTAGGGGATTGGTATTGACTCGTCCATCGGGGAGGAGCAGCGCGTTGTCGATAAAGCTCGTGTTCGGTCGTGTGCCAGTTGCAGGGATATAGATATCGGTCCCCATCGTCTTCCCGCTGTCTAGAGTGACAGTTGCATTTGTCGTTACTCCTGTAATTCCAGCTTCAGCCGGCACTACATCCTTTACCCGAACCCCTTTCAGCACAGTGACTCCGACCTTAGCGAGATAACCTTCTGCCTTGCGGGCAATAGCAGGACGAAGCGGGGGAAGGATTTCAGGCGTAGATGAGATGAGGGTAATCGGAACCTTTGGTCGTTGTGACTTTCGACCATTCAAATGCTCGCCCAGCTCGCCGGCGGTCTCGACACCCGCTGGCCCTCCACCTACGACCACTATGCTTCTCGCCTTCGGCAAAGCCTTGCGGAACTCGGTCCAGCTTTTTCGTAAACTCTCAGAGTCGCTGTTGAGACCGAGGAGAGGCGAGGGAGTTGATGCACCAATAGCAATCACTAGGGCGTGGTAGGAAAGAGTGATTAAATCGCTCTTGCCTTTCGTGGTGACGGACACCGCTCTCTCACCATGAGCTAGAGTTGTTGCGGTTCCCTGAACGAACAGGAACCTTTCACTATCGTATTGCTTGAAGACGCTGGGTATGTCGACGAAGAGCTTGTCTTGGGGAAACATGTCGTCAGATATCAGTGCGCGGGGGCATGCAGGCCGACACATGACTTCTGCGGAGGGGCTGACGATGACGACCTTGAAGTCTGTTGCGCTTGGTAAAGCTGGAATGGCATGTTTGAGAAGATAATGAGCTGTAGATAGACCGCCATAGGAGCCACCAAGGATGACGATGAGTTTCTCTGATGCGGCGGGGTCCGTCATGATTGAAGCAACCGAGGATTAGGATTGATCATACACAGATAATGCGAATGAATAGTTGCCTTATATACTTTGGTCATGTTTCACTCATTCTGAAGCCAACTGGTCTTATTGACTTACACGGGGTCAATATGCTCTATCCCGGGCCATCACGGGCGGATGAAGACTGATTACTAGGCTTAGGTAATGCTGTTTTGTGGCGGTGGCTTGCTGACAAGTGTTTGGTGGCTGGTACTTCGGCCGAATTGCGGACGAGTTCACTCAAGTCTTGTGCTGTGCTTCATCTCTATTCATTTGATTCAAGAAAGGCAAATAGCCATTCGTACACACGTATGCTAACAGTGATCCTTCGATGCTGACAGTGTTCATGGTTGCGTGGAGTTGAGATAGACGCGAGTGGGGTGATTTATTATCTCGTTCGGCCGAATTGTGTCCCGGCCGAGACATAGATGTACGGAACCATCTAAAGCTTCGTTGGCAATTGTCGCTGACAATAAGTATGCGGCGACCGCATTCCAAGATTCAAGATCCAGAACTGCACTTATGCAGTCTCTCGAGTCAGAAATTTAACAGCGTACACTGGTAAAGCCTACGTGCCTCGGATGAAGCAAAAAGACTCGGGGAACGCCGAGTGACGGGGATTCAAAGTCGGCTCGGGATGACATAATGACAACTGGAAATGGCCCGACCTGCAGCATCAGAAAATTTCTAGAACGACACCAAAGAAAAAAAAAAGCAGAAACTTCACCGGCCGGGCTTTTTGGGCTGTCTTACGTAAGGAACTGAGACAAGCGTGCCGCCGGATGTATCGTGTGGGGGGGCTCTTTACCGCCGCCGTTCGCCGCAAAGCCGCTGCAAGGCCCGGACCCTGTGTCGCTGCGTTGCACTGTCGCGGAGCTGTCAGGTCACTCGTTGGTGTACCTGCGCTGGCACGGTGGTACTGAACAGCGTGTTGGGTACCTGTATGGTCAGGTGCCTTAGGTAAGCTCGGTAAGGTGCCTTTACGTAGCAAAGGGGTGGGAAAGTGACCATTTTTGGTAGGTGGGCGGATATCTTCGGCGTTGGCGGGGTCATTTTTCATTCCCGCTTCCTGTGCTCTCCCTCGCTCCGTCTCAATTCTCGCACCATCCCACCACGACGATTGCGTTTCTCTTTTCCTACCACTTGCATATCTATAGTCCGTGGACTGACTTTCATTCTTACACTTCCTCCTTTTCTTCTCCTCCTCCTTTCTCCCTTCTCCTCTTTCCCTCTATCAACCTCCCTCCTCTAAGCCAACCACATTATACCCATCCCAATCGCAATCATGGGAGACGCCATCAACGCCACTCGCGCGGCCGTCACCGCAAAGTCGGCCACCGAGCTCATCGGCAACACGCCTCTGGTCCGCCTCAACAAGATTCCTCAGAGCTTGGGTATCGAGTGCGAGGTCTACGCCAAGGTCGAGCTCTTCAATGCCGGCGGCAGTGTCAAGGACAGAATCGCCCTGCGCATGATTGAGGAGGCCGAGCGAACTGGCCGCATCAAGCCTGGTGACACCCTCATCGAGCCCACCAGTGGAAACACGTATGTCCTAACGAAGCTTAAAATCACCAGTTCTCACGACTAACGTTGAACAGTGGTATCGGTCTGGCCCTCGTTGGCGCCATCAAGGGTTACAAGACAATCATCACCCTCCCCGAGAAGATGTCCGCTGAAAAGGTCTCTGTCCTCCGCGCCCTTGGCGCCACCATCATCCGTACCCCGACCCAAGCCGCCTGGGACAGCCCCGAGTCGCACATTGGCGTCGCTCGCCGCCTTGAGAAGGAGATCCCCAACGCCCACATCCTCGACCAGTACGGCAACCTCGACAACCCGCTCGCCCACGAGTTCGGCACCGCCGAGGAGATCTGGGCCCAGACGGGCGGCAAGATTGACGCCCTCGTCGCCGGCGCCGGCACGGGAGGTACCATTTCAGGCATTGCCCGCGGTCTGAAGAAGCACAACAAGGACGTCAAGATTATCGCTGCCGATCCCCACGGCAGTATCCTCGCCCTGCCCGAGTCCCTGAACAAGGAGCACGAGAACGAGGGCTACAAGGTCGAGGGTATCGGCTACGACTTCATCCCTGACGTTCTCTCCCGCGACCTCGTCGACAAGTGGTACAAGACCGAGGACCGCGAGTCTTTCCAGCTCGCAAGACGTCTCATCGCCGAGGAGGGTCTTCTCGTCGGTGGCAGCTCCGGCTCCGCCATGGCCGCCATGGTTCGCGCCGTCAAGGACCTCGGCCTCGGAAAGGGCCAGACCGTCGTCGTCGTTCTCCCCGACAGCATCCGCTCCTACCTCTCCAAGTTCGCCGACGACGACTGGCTCGCCGCCAACGACCTTCTCCCCGAGGTCAACGGCCTCGAGACCCAGGCCACCTCCAACGGCAACGCCACCAGCGCAAAGGGCTCCGTCGACCCCTACGAGGGTGCCACCGTCCGCGCTCTTCGCCTCAAGCCCGTCATGTCCGTCCCTGCGACGAGCCCCTGCTCCGAGGCGTCGGAGATCATGCGCGACAAGGGCTTCGACCAGCTCCCCGTCCTGTCCGCGAGCGGCCACAAGCTCGTCGGTCTGGTTACCCTCGGTAACCTGCTCAGCTACATCTCTTCAGGTCGCGCCACGGGCTCCAGCCCTGTCAGCGACGTCATGTTCGACTTTGGCCGCTTCGATGAGGTCGTCACGGATCCCAGACAGGCCGGCGAGACGGGCGAGAAGAGCAAGAAGAAACGCAACTTTGTCGAGATTACCCTCGACACCCCTCTCTCGACCCTCAGCAAGTTCCTCGAGTGGAACAGCGCTGCTGTCGTTACCGAGAAGGCCGAGGGCACCAAGAACCTGTCCAAGCCCGTGGCTGTAGTCACAAAGGTCGATCTGCTCACCTGGGTCGTCAACAAGAAGGCTTAAACGCTTTCCCTCTTTTTTCCTACGATAATTGAAAAAAATCACGACTTGGCCTATATATAGTATCAAGGCTACGCATGAGGATGCAGATGATGTTGCTTTTTTACCTGGGTATCGGCGTTTTGAAAGCGGGCATAGCAATGGTGGCAGGGGCAAATCTTGGGTCGCATCAACTGACCCCGGTTGGCAGCATTTGCTTGGAAATCTTGGGATGGGAGTAGACTCAACATCTACATAGAAAACAGGGCAGCCAGTCTGATCCTATATGGATAGAATCACAACCACACAGTTTTTTGCGCAAGCTTCAGGTCACCAAAATAACTTTCGTCATTGTCATCAACGTATCAATTATGTGCTTTGATTATTGTTTGCCCTATACCACAATACTCATCATATCCGCTGGGCAATCCAGGACCACCACTTATCGGGGCCCGTCGCGCTGCCAGTAACATTGCCCGCGATGACATCCACCTCCACGTCAAACTCGCGCAGCTGATCAAAGGTGAACTTCTCGGTGCCGTACGCGCCCAACCAATCATCGTGCTCCTCCGAACCGACATCATCAATGCCGACACCGGAATCCAAGAGACCCTTGCTGCGCGACGACCGTATCCGCGTGATCTCAGCCTCGAGGTTCGACTTGACCAGTGCGCCAGGCAGCGCCGTAAACAGATCCGTCTTGTTGGCGGCGACGAGGACGGGGATAGGCGGGGGCGGCTTGGACGACTTGCTCGAGGCGGCGCGCTTCTGGAGACCGAGGAGGACTTCGTAGAGGTAGCTCGCCGTGGGCGCGAGGGCCTCGTTCTCGCCAATGGCGGCGGCGTCGACCATGAAGACGATGGCCTTGAGCTTGGAGTTCTTGCTGCTGCCGCCGCCGGCGCCGCTGGCGAGCTTGCCAAGGGCGTAGTTGCGGAGCTTGCCGTGGCCTGGTGTATCGACGAGGAGGAACTTGGTGTGGGTGCCGCTGGTGTCGTCGTGGTTGCGGAAGCTCTGGGCCGTCTTGCTGTCGCGCGAGGCCGTGAGCTCGACGGTGTGGGGGCGCTGGCTCGTGTGGGTTGTCGCGGGGGCGTCGCCTCTTTCGAAGAGGGTGAGGAGGGCGGTCTTGCCTGCGCCGGCGGGGCCGAGGAGGAGGACGGAGGGGAGGGTTGTGTAGGGTGTTGACTTGATGAGAATGTAGTGGAGGAGGACGGGGAAGAGGAGGACGATGGCGGCGCCGATGAGGATGACGGGCGTCGAGGGGGTCATGATGAATTCGAGGAACTCTGTGAAGGAGCCCATCTTGTCGGCCATGGTTGCGGTTTCGCTGTTGCTGGCGATGGTGAGAATTGTCGGGTGTGTTGAGAAGAGTGTCCCCGGAGACCCTGCGCGAAACGGCTGACTAGGGGTGGAGGGGTTGGATGGTGTGAGTCGTGTCGGGTGGTCGTTGACAGATTTCCAGAAGAAATCGCCAAATGCCGTCAGTGGAGCTCTTTCCTTCCCCAACGAGCGCAAGAGACAGGAGAGTCGGGTGGCAGGCGTGGCAGGTGGTACGTGCACCTCGGAGATTCAGCCACAGTTTACCCGCTTCTTTCGGACGAGGCTGAGGAAGCCGAGGAATCCGCCCTAACCTCTAAGGTGAGGCTAAGCATGGGTGCCACTGGCAGTTTATGCCAAGCTTTGGGGCGCTGAGTCTCTCCCAGCCAATCACGGCTATCACGGCAGACGACTGCAGCAGTGGTTGACCCGCCTTTGTCAGCTCAGCCTCGCTAGTCCGATTTAGGGGGGGAGGGTCTCCCGGCGATCCCCTTCCACTCACTGCACTCGGTGCTCACCTCGAATTCCCCAGTCGTCAACGCTTTGCCAACGCTGCCGAGCTCTGCCAAAGCTGACGACACGCAATCTCGTCACTCTTGGCTTCCGGGCGTCTTTTCCGTCCTCCTTCCAACTGTGGCACCGTTTTTCTCTTTTTTGTTTCCACTCTGCTGTGTTTATCATCAATCCCTCGTTTGTTGGTGACCCCCCTGTCCACCGTTGCGCGCGTGCGAGCCCCCCGTCTCAATTCTTTCGCCTGGACCGCATCCATCCATCCATCCCCTTACCTCAAGCAATGCGACGCTAGGTTCGAGCCGAAGTTTAAACTCCCCGAACAAAATAATACTCTTTCCTTTCCCACCCGTCACAGCTCCTCCCAACCGATAACCGACCGTCCTTCTCCTCCTCAATCCGAGACATCGAAAGAAAGGCTTGGCCCACGCGACCGTCGACCCGCCGACTTCGATGGACAAATCTACCACGCCGGCCGCAGCCGCTGCCGCCGCGTCCGTGGCCCCGAATCAACCTGCAAACAAGACAAGCGCCGCCGCGCCCACGCTGAATAATGAGCTGGAGATGGGAAGCATCGGCGGCGATGCGCCTAGCGCGGAGAACGACATCATGCAGGTTGCGCGTGTAGGAGACGTTCCGGCCATGGAGAAGCTCTTCGAGTCGGGCGAGTACGATGCGACCTTCACCGATGATGAAGGCATCACACCCTTACATGTACGTTGCATGCTGCCTCTTTCTAGACCTCTCAAGCTTTGTCACGGCCAGGTTTGATCTCGTTGTGCTAATACATCCCAGTGGGCAGCTATAAACAACCAGTATGCCATGTGCAAGTTCCTCATCGACAATGGCGCAGAGATCAACAAGAAGGGAGGCGAGTCCATCGCAACGCCTCTCCAATGGGCCGCCCAGAGATGTCACTACTACACCGTCAACCTCCTCCTCCAACACGGAGCCGACCCCCTCATCACCGACGCCCAGGGCTACAACACCCTCCACATCTCGACCTTCAACGGCAACACCCTCCTACTCGTCCTACTGCTCCACCAAGGCATCCCCGTAGACGTGCTCGATAGTTACGGTCACACGGCGCTCATGTGGTCCGCCTACAAGGGCTTCCCCCAATGCGTGGACCTCTTCCTCCGCTGGGGCGCTAGCATCCATACCACGGACGAGCAGGGCTTCACCGCGCTTCACTGGGCGTTGGTCAAGGGTTCCCCGGCCTGTATACAGAGGCTCCTCGAGTACGGAGCGGACCGATTCGCAAAGACGCAGACCGGCAAGACGCCCGCTGTCACGGCTAAGGAACTTAACACGACCGGCGCATGGCATCGAGCTCTTAAGGAGTGCGGATATGATGAAGATGGACAGCCGATCGAGCCTAGCTTCCCCGGTTCGCGCTTCCTACGCCAGGATAAGAGGGGTTTCGTGACCAAGTTCTTGTTCCTGTGGCCCTTCCTTTTGGTTTGGTCCATGATTACGATACTGGGAAGCTTGAACGTTTTTGCTGGTGTTTTCTTCTCTCTAGTCGTTGGTTATGCGCTTCAGTGGTGTGCTCAACAGGTCATCGAGTTTGCGCCTCCCGACATGAGACACTTCCACAAGACTGTAAGTCCCTCAAGTGGCATTGTGATGAATTGGACTGACAAGAGTAGCCCTGGTTGGCTGGTATCTTTTCTGCATCTTTGTTCTTGGTCGGTCTGAGGTGGTTGACTACTATTCTCCCCGCGACTACCGGGTCAGCTGGTAAGCTTCGCTACACTATACGACGCTGAATCCTTGCACTAACATCACACAGCTGGTACTTCCTCTCATTGGTGGCTCAACCTGATCTTTGGCGTATTCCTCGGTCTCTGTGCCTACTTCTACAGTGCCGCGATGAGATACGACCCTGGATTTGTTCCCAAGATGAACGGCATCGCCGAGCAAAAGGCCGTCATTGATGAGCTGCTCAAGGAGTGGAAGTTCGATGAGACAAACTTTTGTGTTACGTGCATGATCCGGACGCCTCTCCGCAGTAAGCACTGCAAGAGGTGCCAGAAGTGTGTCGCGAAACACGACCAGTGAGTGGAACTTTGGTCACTGATAGAGAACATCGCTAACCATGTTAGTCACTGTCCTTGGGTTTACAACTGCGTTGGCATCAACAACCACCGCCACTTCTTCATGTACCTCATCAACTTGACGTTGGGCATCATTTCCTACGATTTCCTTGTCTACTACTGTAAGTATCAGTCCTCTGAGCTCAACTTTCGCGCTAACACCAATGGCGCAGACTTCACAGACATCTCGGACAAGGTCTCAGAAACCTGCAACTTCCTTAGCCCCAGCCTCTGCAAGGTTGTCAACGCCGATGGCTACACAGCAATTCTCACTGTGTGGACAACTCTGCAGCTCACTTGGGTTGGCATGCTGCTTTTTGTCCAATTCGTCCAAGTTTCTCGCGCAATGACCACCTACGAAAACATGTTCGGCATCCAAGACGGCTCTCTCACTACTGCTTTCACGTCAACAGGCACCCCTCTCGACCCGAATCACCCATCATTGACCCCTCCGGAAGCCACAGGCGCGCACGCCCACGGCCACAAGCACAAGGGCGGACGTCTCCAGCAATGGTCTCGTCTCCTCGGTGTCGACCCCTTCATCGAGACCATCCGCGGTCGCGGCGCCGCAACCCAGAACAAGCGCAGGAAGAAGAACCCCTACTCCAACGGGTGCATGGCCAACTGCCGCGACTTCTGGTGCGATCCCGCGCCCACGTTTGGCCAGCGCGAGAACGGTTCTGCCATGCTAGGTGGCGAGCCTGTCAACTACACCGCCATGTACGAGAGCCCGACCCTCATGAACATGAGCAGAGGCCGGAGGAGAGCAGGCGGCTACGAGTCCGTTGCTGCAGAGGAGGTATAATAGACTTGATTTTTGTCATGATTGGAAGGAGGGGTACTGGGTCAGTCTCGCGACTGATTGTGTGAAGGAAAGCTGAAAGTGCCGTCTTTCCCACCCCCCTCCTTTTGCGCGCTTTGCTTTTTCTCCAAGCGACGACTTCTATGGAAGAAAGATTACGACGAGGCTTAAGATGATGTTATATTACCACCCCACAATGAAGAGAAGACGCGGCGTCAACGGGCGGCTGCAATTGCATGGCTCGGGATGTATTAATTGTTGGTATATGTAGAAGTATGACTTAGGTGTTGAGGAATGGGAGTCTTTTCTCCGTGTGTACAATTTTGACTTGGCTCTAAGCTGCTTTTGCTGTGTAATTGTGTTTCAATACCGTCTCCTTGTCTTGAATGTTCCCCTTCTGGTACAGACCCGGTTGCATTGGACCACCATCCCGGGGCGAAGAAATTCAACACAGCCATGGCTTGTCTGGCTCAGCGCCAATAGAATCAGAGATGTGTCGGGGGCTTGTAAGGCATGTTCATGTTAGGCATACCGGCCAGTCCCCGCCAATCAGACTGTAGTCAGCCAATCACCCTGCGTTTTTGATAGGAGAGGATGCTCAAGGGCGTCTGCGGCCGATCGGATCTGTACCTCATGTTGCTCGGCATAATGTCTTGCCGTAAGCGCTACGTCCAGAGTTGTGTAAGGTATATGAGGGGTGGTCTTGCATTAGGCAACACCACTGTCATCGTCTTTTTCGAAGCCAGCCTTGCCCTCGACATCAACGCGGGCGTTTCTCCGGCGTGCATTCACTCGCGAATTATGTGATGAGCTTCATGCAAGCACCGTCACAACAACGGGGCCTAGAAGCCATACTTCAGGCCTCCACAATCACCTCAAACCTAACGCCATATGAGAACTTGAACTACCCAGCAGTCTGTCAGCTCCCTGGCGTAGTTGCTGATAGTCACGACGGGAGTTTGATTTCACGATGGTACATCAGCGACCCACAGCAGAGGTCAGATATGTCCCTTTGTGCAGATAGGAGACAGTCTACGGACCTTTCGGCTGACCGTGACACTGCTAGATGGTCCGATCCCGCGAAGAATGCATACGATAATGCGATCGCAATCTTGCGAAAAGAGCTTACAGATGAAGAGTATCAACAGTTGCGGCTCCAAGGCCGGCACTCCATGAGTGATGTGCAGTCTGCGGTCGAGTCTGCCCGGCAGGAGTACCAGGCGAAGTCCAAAGGATCCAAAATTCAGTCTGTCTTGACAACCTGCTCGTCCAGAATCATGTTCTATGGAGGTAAGCTCTGGAAAACGAATCGTCAATTCGGTAATGCAAGAGCATGCGCTGATTCTTGATTTACTGTTAAGCGATATTTGACACCTTCTCACAACATCACCCTGAATACGTGTCTTTGGGGTGGGGCGCGTTGAAGTTCCTGTTCGTTGTGAGCATTATGGCATTGCTTCATTCACAGTAGGTTCATGTTGACCGAATTACGTAGGCTGTCCTCAATCATGAAGAGCTTCTTGTAGAGATCTCGAAGGCAGTGTCTCGAATCGCACTCGTGCTGCCTAGAACCGAGCTACACTCGGTGCTTTACCCCACGCCACGCATGCAGGACGCTGTATCACAACTATATGCAAAGATTATAGAGTTCGCCTTGATGGCAATCAAGTGGTACAAGAAAGGCAAATTGTCTCACTCGTTCACGGCTATCATTAAACCATTCAGCCTGGGGTTCAAACCTATCGTCGAGGAGATTGCCGAGCGGTCCAAGCACGTCGATGAGCTGGCCAGCGCAGCGGTCAAGGCTGAGATCCGAGATCTACACGTCAATATTCACAGGCAAAATAAGACGATACTTCAACTAACAGAGATGGTTTCTTGTAAGTCCAGGGACCGGCTTGGGCAGTTATTTGAATCTAAAGCTAATGCAGGTGCTCAAAGTCATGCAGCAGCAACAATCTCTCCACACGCAGTCTCTCCTCGCGTTGAAAGAAGAACATAAACAAATGTTCAGGGCCAGCCAACTTGAGGACATCAGAACAGTCGCGCTACTGGAAAATACAGCAGTAGCGGATGACAGCCTGGCATGGTGCCGATCGATGCGCAATCGACGTAGACAGAAAGCGCCCACACAACTACCTCTGTCAGAATTATACAAACTAAAAGCCTGGACGTCTGACCCCTCATCCTCCCTCTTACTCGCGGAAGGGCAAGGGGTGAAGACGAGTTCACTCGACTTTGCGGCTGATTTTCTCGATATAGTGCTTGAGCAAGGATACCCCGTCATCTGGGCGTTGTCTTCTATCGTTACTGAGGTCGATGATGATAGTCTAGCACCATCAGTCTCGGACATCATCCGGTCACTCATATCACAGGCTCTGGCATTGGATGATGCTGTGGTAAGCGAAGGCGTGAATCCTCTCACTCCCAAACACTTCAAGTCCGCTGTCAGCATTGTCCAGTGGTTTGATTTACTTCAGCGCTGCATGTCAAGTTTTCAGCGGCTATTCATTGTTCTAGACATGACTGCCATCGAGTCCGCTTTAGAGCAAAGAGAGGCCGAGGATCAGGCTTTTAGGATGAGTGAATTCATCGAACGGATCTCGCGTATATCACAGTCAGCCCTAGGAAGCATCAAAGTCATTATTGCATCGTGGAGGTTTAGCGCGAAAAACTCCATAGAAGCCGAAACTATTTGCGAGGAGAGGCATTTGTTTACTGATAGGGGCAGAAAAATTGAGCGGCTCATGAAGCAACCCAAGTTTAGAGCTATGTCCAAGAGAAGACATCCAAACTTTGGTCACAAATTCAGATCTTCGATTACGCTAGAGGATGGTATATCAGGGATGTAATCCACCCCACTTCTCACTTAAGCTCATCTAGAAACGGACAGTATTTCAACAGCTACTCAAGGAAATCTGTACATTCGTCTCCAATCTTTCTCTAATCTCGCTCGACTTCGACATTGGTCAAAGGTGAATACAACGGCAATAAGACCGAACTAAGATGCAGCTCGTCCTATCTTTGATCGAAGTGCATTTATGTATTTCAATTTTACTTCGCAAACAGCGTGTAATAATAGCGACCATCTGATTCCACGCGAGGGAAGATTCGATGACATTATGCGTGACCCTCGAGACCTCACTCGCTTTTTGGGCACATATCACTGTACGTAAGCGAATGAGTTTGTCGAATCGGCGCAGTAAGCACATCAGCGTGATTTGTTGTCACCCTTGTCTCCACAGCCTAACCTCGCGTAACTTGAGGCAGTCACTATGCATATAAGTCACGTGTGTCAGGATGAGGGGAAGATTGCTTGTCATTCTGGCTGACTACTTGGTCTTGAGCGCTTGATTTATCTTGCGGACACATGCAATGGCTTCGAACCGCATTCTTCCATATGTAAGCCGTTTCACAGTCTCAATCTTTCAGGAGTTTAGATCCAAGACATTTCACAAAATTCACAACCAAGGCACGGTATCTGAGCCATGCCATCTCAGCCGGATGTATCGAGCCTTCCATCGGATGGAGACCCAGAAGAAACCGACCGTGATCAGAAGAAAAATCCTCTCACCGATTCGGACTGGAGCTCAGATGAGGATCTCTCAGGTTCAGACAGTGATTCAAATGATAGAGAACGGAAACTATTCATCAGCTCGAGTATAGCACGGGATGAAACGAAGAGTCAAGCGAAGCAAGAAAAAGGGATCCTATCAAACCTCAAGAACCAATTGCCATTTAGGCGTAAGTCCCGTTCAAACTTGAATCTTATCAACAGGACACTGACAATATACCCAGGCCATCAACTCAACAGCACTGGAAATGTAAACCGCCTGCCAATACCAAAGAGGCGTAGTTTTCCAAACGTTTCCGAGGCTAGACGACCCTCGCCTTGGAGGCCACCCCAACCACCGTATCGGCCACTGCCTATACCGCCTCGGGGTACGGCAACCGGCAATTCAGCTCGCTCCACCCGCGATCCTTCCCGTGCTCCGCCTCCTCCACCGCGTATCAATCCGGTTCGTTATCCCCGTTTCAAGGCCTTAAAGAACGCGAAATGGCGGGAGCAGCTGCAGACCCGAAGAAAGATATCCTCAGAAGCATGCTCGGAGGAGCCAAATGCGGGGAGCATTGAGCGAATGGGAGTCGACAGTCATCGCCATGGTAGTGAGAAGGACAAGGTAGCTGATCTCCAGACCGTCAAAGAAGACAAAAGCGCCGACTGCAAAGTAGGCCTTGCCGAAACTCTCGCCTCGGTGACAGAAAATCAACTCGGTATTGATCTCCTGGATCAAAGCAAGGAGGTATCTACCTTCATCTCCTACCTTCTCGACACGATTCAACTCTTAGAGAGGCAAGCACGATACCGTCATGCTCTCAGCCCCGTTAGTGTCTCAGCATCTAGCAGTGATTCTGGCAGTAACTCGCGAGAAGAAGAAGCAGCCGGCAGCCAAAATCCCGGGTTTCAAGTTGTTCATCGAATCTTCTGTACAGCAGAAGAGCACGAACATGACGAAAAACTATACGAGGATGAACCAGTGACCAAAAAGGACATATCTTCTGGTCGTATGCAGCCGCTGAAAGCTGAAGACCAGATCTTTCATCTTGATACATGGTTGAGCATGCGGCCGTCTCTCTGCTTCCTTGTTATCAAGGAGCACCGCTGCCTCCAAGGTCAAAGAGAAGAGGGCTGGAGGCACAGAAATACAACCTACCCGGGTGGACCTTCAGAGAGGCTAGAGAGACTCAAAATTGTGTCACCAGCCCTCCAAAAAGCATTGAAGCAAGTTGCGGAGTTTCAAATCTTCCATGAAAGTGAATATGACGAGGCCAATGCAGAAATGGAGGCTCCATATCTATTCTTGTTCCATCATCGAAAGAAGTTATCAGCACTAGCTGAAGTCGGAATACATCAGGAGGTGGTTTCACCTCTGACGAAGTTTCTCAAGGACAGCTACGAGGCTGAATATACTGAGGCCGAGGAGATGTTTCTCCAGGGGCACGTCAACGCTTACCATATCAACAAGTTATTCAAACCGAATCAAATGCTTCTTCTCAAACAAAAAGGCGAGCCCCAAGTAGGCTTCGTTTTGAGCAAATATACCCTACACAGACGAAAAGATATTGTCCTCGAGGGCTGGAGATGGAAATACGACGGTAACAACTTACATCGGGTTGCAGAATCTGGGCGGATTAGTATGGTCACCGAGGAGAAGACGAATATTCGCGATCTCGACATTCATCCGATTGAGTTCGCCAGACAAGAAGACGTCAAAATATTGACTGAAAGAGGAAATCAGTTCTGGAGTATGAGAGGTCATGTGTATACCTGCTACACGGGATGGGATCGGGAGTCGAGATATCGATACGTTGGCAGAAGTCCCATTGAAATGAACGACTTAAACAAGAGACTAACCTGCTGCTAGGCATCTGCAAGGTTCATGGTGGACGCGGCAACGTATGAAATCATGTATGGCCAGAATTCCTCCTCGTCATCTGCTCCAAGCAGGTACGATCCGTGGCCTATGAAAATCAACCGGCGAGAAAGTTTGCCGCAAAAAGCTGAAATGCTACTGCCAGCTACGTTGTTTGGCTTCTATCTTAAAGAAAAGAAATGGGGTAAGAGTCACAGAATGAAGATGGGTCTCGCTGGATTATATTAACCTCCGATTGTTGTAGTCGAGCTGTATGTCGATAAGACACATGCAGTAGATTGGAACTACAGGGCATTTGACCGCCTCGTCTTGGATATCAAGACCAAGGAAATGATTCGAGCACTTGTCGATATTCAGACTTCGGCAAAGAAGATGGATGACATCATTGCTGGGAAAGGCAATGGTCTGATCATACTTCTTCATGGAAGTCCAGGGACTGGGAAGACATTGACTGCGGAGAGGCGAGTCGAACTCAATCATCAGGCGATAAGCGGGAGCTACTGGCTGACAGCTCTTGCAGTGTCGCTGAAATCGCAGAAAAGCCGTTGTATCGAGTCACCTGCGGGGATATTGGCACCGATGCGCGTGATGTGGAAAGTTACCTTGAGACAGTGATGTACCTGGGGAAAACTTGGGATTGCGGTTTGTTACCATTGATATGAGGCAGTCTATATAGTTCATCATTGATGGAAACTAACATTGGAATAGTTCTCTTGCTGGACGAAGCAGACGTTTTCTTAGAGGAGAGAACTATGGCAGACTTACAGCGGAACAGCCTTGTATCAGGTGCGTATAGATCCCCGACGTTACACTTGAATATGTGACTAACTCTACTTAGTGTTTCTACGGCTCCTTGAGTACTATGAAGGCATTCTCATCTTGACGTCCAATCGAGTCGGAACCTTTGACGAGGCATTCAAATCTCGTATCCAGGTGGCAATTCACTACGACAACCTGACCAAGATGTCACGCAAAGCCATCTGGCAAAACTTCTTCGACATGATTGAGGAGTCAGCGGAGGAAGATGCCAACATGCCAGAACTAGAAAGAAGACTCGACCAGTTGGCATCAGAAGAGATGAACGGCAGACAAATCAGGAATGCGCTACTGACGGCGCGACAACTTGCGAAGCATCGCAAGGAACGATTGGACTGGGAGCACCTTAGCCAAGTTATCAAGACTTCTGCTGCTTTCAACAAGTATCTGAAGACAGTTCGCGGGCATACCGATGAGCAATGGGCAAGGGGAGAATCGCTGCGTTAACGGTCAGAACTCTGAAATTTCCTAAACTTAGACCCGTATTCCCTAGTTCGTTTCGTAATTATGGGCAGAATTTGAGTAGAGATGCGTCTTCCTCTATGGCTGCATAAATGTTGTGATTGATGAGGAACGACCTGAGCTAGCAATGGACACCCGGAAGTTCTATTTATCGTAAAGCAGGGACTGAGGTGAGTCCGACCCTTGGAACGACCAGTGCCGAACACCTCCTACGGGTGGCTAAGTAGGAAGAAGAAGAAAACAAGTAAAGAAGCAACATGTTCTAGCACAAACCGTTTCACTTCCCAGGCCAAACGACGAACATTATCTGCACCTTCATCGTCGGCTCGATGGTGCATATAAAACCACGACCGATGCCTCCTACGAGGGGGACGAATGAAATGCATTGGTGCTTCGGCCCAGTCAAGTGTTTATATCCTGAAGATGGGCTCAGTTCCACCACATGACAAATTGGTTGTCAAACTGCAAGGTCTCACCGCCCCTAGTAGTGAGGCTATAGATGCTATCCCAGGCGATTCTCCAAGGCTGTCGGAGAAAGCCGGTAGCGAGATCCTCAAGGCCAGCCATCAAGAAGTTGGGAGCTGTTGCTACTTGTCAGTTCCGGCTCTTTAAAGTCAGACTTCATGAAGTGTGTGAACGTACCACTAGGGAAATCCGGCTCGAACTGCACAAACATGGTGTGGATGTCATTGAACCAGGCAGTGACCACGAGATGAACTCCGCTGACGATGATGCGAGTCTTGACTCTGTTGGCCCATCCGTTTCCGGCCCTGAAGTGGTCGCTCTGGTGAGAGGCAGGCCAGACTGAGAAGTGTGTCAATAATGAACTCCTAGGTAATAAGTACAAGTTGCGTACCTCTGGCTTCGAGCGAGTTCTCCACGGGGGCATCGGCCTTGCCTGCAGCAATGACGTCTGTCATAATTAGCCTACAGCAATTTCAGTCATAATGAATCCTATTTTACCTTTGGTTATGAGGGCATCGCGAGCCTCGAGGGACTGCAGAGCCTCGACGCTGACAACAGGGAGACCTGTTATTACATTAAGTTAGCAAGGACTCTCGTTGATGTTTTACCGCGAAGACTGCAGTAGCATTTCATATCAGATATACTGACCGTTGATCTCCTTGACGTCCTTGGACCCAATGTCGGCGACTGCAACAGGGGAGGCTGTGGCAACGGCCAACAGCAGAGCGAGAGCACCCGTGAGACGCATTGTAAGATTCGAAAGAGTGAACAAGCTGGGGAGGTATCGAGCGAGAGTAGAAGTCAGAAGATTGGATGTTTGACGAAGCATGAGATGGAGATGGCAAGAACTTCTGGGCGATTAGGACCGGACTTTAAATAGTTGTCCTACAGTTAGTATCAAGCCCATCTCCAAGGCCGCGAGGCACTGCCCTGAAAGACCGAAAGCGCAAAGTGGATTCAAAATGTGAGGCTTTCGCAAAAGTGCTCAGGCACTGACCATGTGAAATGTCTCCGTTCCTTGTATCTCCAGATATCTTCCGCGTTTGAACACTCGCGGCTGTATTATCACGGCAAGCAAATGTTTAGTAGCGCGAAGCTTGACCGGCAGAGTGACCAGGCCTCGGCCACCCACTTTGCTGTCATTTGTCCATATTGGGAGAATTGTCAATCTGTGAAAGTTGGACATCCCCAACACGCAGGTGGCCAAGGGTAGGGGATCTGCCGAGGAGCCTTCGCACTCACCGGCTACTCTTAGCAAGTTGAGGTCACAAAGTGCTTGTCTAGGGACCTAACTTATAAGACAAGCTTTTGGACAAGCCTTTCCCGCCGGCTTGTGGGCCTTCTAAAAGGATTTCGCACTGGGCCAAGTTCCCATCACGGCACCAAAGCCCCTCTGACAAGTGGCCCTACGTGAGTGAGTATGATAACGAAGATGCCGGAGACCATGCTACTTTGGGGTTCTACTATGGTACTGTTTACTACTTTGGGTAAACTCTCCGAGTCTACACGCGAGGTAAGGGCGTGTTGTTCCTCAAGGCTGGTAACTGCAAGAACTCAATTGTTCTTTAATATATCAAGGTGCCGTCTCCTCGGGTCCGCCGAGACAGCAGCAGGCACTCTCCGTATCAATATTCTCCTTCAAAATTGTCCAACCTGAATTGAAGAACTCTAAGCATTGCCAAATCAGGATAGAACTGTATGATCATTGGGTTGACTGATTCCGCTCGAAGAAACCAAGCTTTTGGCATTCGATAGCATCCGGTGGGATACTATCGGCACTATGTGGGATGCTTCTGAGCCTCAGCATGAAAAGCTGAATGACGGACGCCTAACGTCGAAAAGGCAATTACGACAACCTAGGTCAATTTGACTAGTGCGATAATAGTCCAAAGGCAAAGAGCCAGACAGGGAGGAACAGACTTTTGGCCTCAGCAACGCACATTTGTAGTCTCGACAAGTCATTTGAGGCTACCTATCACGACAAAGTGGGTTATCAGAATATCTAGCAAACGGACTATAAGAAGGAAGACGCCAAGTTTTCTAGAACATCGGTATAGAACCCAATCGTCCTCATCGCTCAATCCCATTACAGAGTCCTACTTCTCCATCTCATTTCACAATGAAGACCGCCGCAATCCTCGCATTCTTGTAAGTCAAACCCCCCACTTCCTGGCACCCCCCTGTTTCTGGCACCCACAAAAACGATGGGATCACAACCCAACCTCCTCATTACTATTAACTATTGATCCTCAACCACACCCACTACAATACAACTGCCAGCCTCACTAGGGCATTCAGAGTCGCTGGATTCAGCCGTAATAACCTCCTTTTCACCCGCTTCGATTTGAGCCCGATGGATATCCCTGATGTTCGCAAACTTCGTGTTGGGATCGATCTGAACAGTCTTCCTCTTCCTAACTGCAGCGTTGGTAACAGGCCCTCAGGTGAGCCAGCTGCTGCTGGGCGCTGCCAGTTGCCAGGCCTGCTCTGTGAAGCCTTTTTCACCTTCCTGAACAGCAGCCGTTGCTGGTATCATTGTCGAGTTGGGTGTATAAGTGCAGTTGACCGCTGAGCTCTGCCAGCTTCCTGGGTGTCGACCAGACCACTGCAGAGGAAGCAGAATCCATGGCTCAACAGGGGTAGTTTGTTGACCATTATGGCATCGCTTTTTGCCCCGACTGGTTGGTTTGGGTGTGGTGGGCTTAGCAGAAGGCTCAGGTAATACCATAGGGTTCATCAGGGCTTAACCATCGCTACAGGGTGTAGACCAGTCCACTTCAACCACTTCTGATGTTCGAGACTGATAGACCAGCAAGTCAGGCCTGGTAACAGTCCAGGAAGTTCCTTTTACCTATAATGGTAGAGTCGTTCCATTGAGACAAGTAACCGAGCTCCTTCCGATAGGCTGACTTAACAGGGCTGAAGACAGACTGGTCAAGTGGCTGGAGGACATGAGAGAGTGTGGTGGTAAGAACAGTAAATGGATATTGTTAATATAGCAATTCCACATGAAGTCTGTCGTCGTATGACTCCCATGCCCATCCACAATCAACAGTCGAGCCTCGCCCTCAGCCTCGGGCATAGTCTGTGGGATAAACACCTTCTCTAACCATTCAATGGCAGTTAAGTCTGTAGTCCAGCCATTATCTGTTGCTGTAAACTCCCACCCATCGTATGGAACCAGATGTAATGGAAACCACTGTTGTTGGACCGTCTTCCCCTTGAAAATGATAAGAGGACGAAGTGCCCTACCCAAGGCTGAGATACACTCAATGATAGAGACCCATGCCCTCGACCCAGGTTGTTTCTTGCGAACAGACGTCGTCTCAGCCATGCCCAGCACTAACCCATTAGCTCCTGACCCTCGAGGATGCCAGTCTCATCCATATTATATCTGTTGGCTGGTTTGATGTCCTTGATCTCAGGGATAGCAAGGAACTTAAACCAGTTCCTAATGACCTCAGTAGATGCCCCATTAACGCGTCTAGAATCGATGGAACGACTTCTCTGAACCTTAATGATAGGGTTCCTTCTCACGAAGGCATAGATCCAGCCTTTTCCTAATGGTTTGGTATCCCCAGCAGCAGCCAGAACTCGCTCTGCGAATTCCTTCACCTGTTGGTGCGTTGGTGCGAGGCCCAGCGAAGCCTGAATGCGAACCCATTGTGCCAGCTTACTCTCCTGGTCAGGAGACAGCCTCTGCCAGTCAGCAAAAGCCACTTTCCTAGTCTGACCACCTTGGAGACGTAGTTGGAGGGTTGATCGTGGTATCCCATACTCCAATGAGGCTCTCTTTTGACTCTTGCCGTTTGAGATGTCCTCGAGAGCCTGACGAAGCTGATCTTCGGTATATTGAGGCATTAGATATAGAAGAAGGTATGTGCAAAAAATGAGCCCATTTGGACTCGAATTGAAAATGTTGTGATAAAAGGAGGTTGGGGGTGGGCATTGCGTTGTGGTGGATTTTCGCGTTTTTGTGGGTGCCAGAAACAGGGGGGTGCCGGGAAGTGGGGGGTTTGACTTACCTGTAAGACTTCTCACCTTGTCGCTTGAGTCATATCTGACTTCCTATCGTAGCGCTCCTCTGAGTGTTTCAGCCTGGATGTGCAGCTGCTATAAGAAGAGCGTCCCCGATCTGCACGCTGCCTACCACTTTTGCCAGCCCGGCTCTGGCCATAAGTACTGCGTGAACAAGACGACCAACGTCCAGGCGGTAAGACGTTCCAACAAGTGGCTATGAGTACCCTTCGTAATGCTAACACCTACAGTGCATCATGGGCACGCCCATCACCCAAGCGAACTGCGCCTCCAGCTACGGCAGTGATTGGGTTGCGGAATGTGAACACTACACTGGCGGGTGCCCTCCTGGTATGACTGAGCAGTAGGAGTCAGGGAAGAAGTAGTGGCAATGACGTGAAGTTACTTCAGAAGGGTGATTTATGGCGCACCGTAGAACAGTGTTGCATATTGTATCCTAATACCCGCTGGTTGCAATAACTGCGATGCTACGAACCTGGATCCATAGACTACGCAATGAGGCCATCGAATTCGAACGCAAAGGAGCCGTAAAGACCGAAATATTCGATTCATCAAATATACCGAGACCCTTTAGCAAAGTAAATTCGCTTATGTTAGATGGCTTAAGAGCGCCAATCCCGTTACCATTTTGTAAATTCTATGCGGCCAAGCAAGTCACTAGTGTACTATAGAAAGGAGATACTACCATGATTACCCCTCGAGTGCATGGTAACCCGTATGCTAACGGTAAGGATATTGAAACTGCTAATACAGATGTTTCTGGTGGCATCGTCATTTCACTATGTCCTCTCCATTAGCAAGGCACCGCATCTTTCTGTCTACATACTCTGACTGCCAGTTCACAAGCATGTTTCTCCTTCTTGGATATTGTGACTCACAATTCGGAGGACTGTCCTTCCAGTCTGATATAACAAGCGTACTTTTAGATCTTCAATCATGATCTGTTCTAAAGCTACTGTATCCTACCACGTATTCCCACCCCCAGCGGCCTCATGCTCAACACTCTGCCTTCGTCTTGGAAGGAGGCCGTCTATAAGCGATCCTGAAAGCGAACTCATGCCTGTAACCCCCACTACCCCATCGAATACTCATCATCGCCAACCCGTCCTGCTCGCATCCTCCACTCTCCCATAAGCTACGCATAAAAACATCCCGCCTCTTGGCAACCCCAGCCCGTGAGCAGGGTTCACACACCGGAACCGAATCCTCCTTCACGACGGGTGCCCCAGATTATGCAACACGAACGACCCCACTCATCTCGTACAACACCCCCCCCCCCCCTAAACCCGAAAGCTCAATCCGAAAGCGAAAACGACGACCGTACCTGAAACCGCGAAACGAAATGAACCACCGACCAAGCTCTTACAAGATGGATCACTTGATCGTGGTAAGTGTTGAAAGGCCACCATCATTATGCGTTCGCGGTCACGGTCGCAGTCGCATGGTATGGGTTGTGAGGTTGAGAACTTGAAAATGATGGTTGTCACGGCAGATAAGACGATGATAAGGGGGAGGGTGTCGCTCCGGTGGTGAAGGCGTGTCCAAGGTATGTGGCGGGGTATTGAGAGCATCACTAACATAAATTGGAACGCAAGACTCGGTCCAGTCACGGCACGAGAGAGAACAATAATGTGTGAGCAATGGCAGGTTATTTTGTCTTCCCATGCTACCCTAACTAATCAAGCCAAATGGCCGAACGCTTCTGCTAAGTGACTGCGTCCATGTTCCCAACGCCCATTGTATGAACCGGTACCTATTGTGTCACGAACGAGTCGATGCTTCAATCAATCTCAAGACTCGGTTCCTCAACTTTTGTCCGTTCCAAACCCAACCGCTACCGAATCTCCACAACAAGCCTGTCAATACCACGCAGCGTACTGGGGTAGTTGAACAGGTCGGGGATCCGGTGCACACCCTTGATATCATCCGCCTGAGGCGGACAGAGACAATCTCATGTCATCTGGTATCATCCCATTCCAATAAAGCAAGTATTCGATGGCCCGTATCCCTCTAAGACCCCTAATGTCGTGTGCTGGTGGTCCTGGATCCTCTACCGTGCGCGAAAAGAAAGCTCAACGAGGAGCAAAATACAAATGACAAGATAATTCGAAGCGCAATGACAGCCGCTGTTGAAGGTCAAGAGTGAAGGTGCGAGCGAATTACGCATTAAAGGAACTCCTCGTATGCAGATCGATCCTGAGTGCCCCCATCCGAAAAGGAGACTCGATCCCTCGACGCTGCGTTGAGCTCATCAATGATGGGCAACGAATGAAAGACCAAGAAAGCAAGGCTGTTTTGTTTGTTTTCCCAATGACCCCCGAAGAATGCCTATCGTATGCTCGGGAAGTCGCGAAATCGAATGGAGGGCCATGGATTATGAACGACTCTTTGAACGCCTCCCCGCGATGCCATGGCCGTCCCTGGCCTTTTGGCGTCGAATGCCATTAAACGCCAGTGTCCGAAAGATGAGATGAAATAGTTTTTCGTCCAAAAACACAATCGAGAAAAGTCAAATGACGAGACCGCAAAGACGATCGCGATTACATGGTGGAGCGAGCGGCGCCGTTAACCCCTAATTGCTGTTGCCGCATGAGTCTCGGTATTGAATGGGAAGCGCTCCTGCAGTTGCTGGGCGTACGGAAATTCATTTGGCGACGTACCGGCGAAAGGGAAGCCACCCACCGAGGTCGAGGGGGAAGCGGACCTCATTATTGCTGGGGTGGTAGCCTGACTCGGACGTTGGTTCGCGGGTCGTTCGCTTTGCAAAGGTTGACTGAGTGGAGATGAGGCTGGTGATGCACCGTAGGATCCCAGGTGCTGAAAATAAGGGTTGGAGTCGCGAAGGTGGAAGGCGTGGTGTTGTGCGGGTCCGGCGTGTTGAGCTTGGTGGGCCATGCTGGGGCTGCCGTTGGAGCTCGAGCTGGTGCTGTTGGATCCACGGGTCGCGAAAACGTCGTCAGCTCCGTCGAACTTGCCGTTTCTCAATGTGCCATCCTTAATCTGCGGACTGGACTGCTTGGAGCCGAACTGTTGATAGCCAAGGTCAGTACATGCTTTTTGGGCTGAGAGTGGGCGATCGGTGAGGGTCGGTAATGAAAGGGTCGGACATGGATGATTGTTGACCAGAAGTACGTACAAAGCAGTATTTGTTGACCAATTCCTCGTATGATGACGAGGCAAGGGAAGGGTTGGGGGAGTCGGTGCCAGGGACAGTGGGCTGCTTGACAACCGGCTTAGAGACAGGGGGCGCAGTCACGGCCGGGGCCGGCTTCGCCTGCTGGGGCTGTTGCGCAGGAACGTGAATCTTGCGATGGCTCTTCATATAGAGACCATCCTGGTTGCGGTCCTTGCCAATGGTGTCCTTTGCAGCCTGGACAGCAGCAGTGAGGGAGGCACCAAAGTCGTAGCGGTTGGAGAAGGCTTGTCCACTGGGGGCAGTCAGTCGGCTCGAGAGGTTATCGCTAGCCAGATTGCCGGTAGACTTGTTGATCTTGAGGCGAAGTCCAGCAGTCGGGCCTGACTCGCCCAAGTACTCGTGGATGGGCTGGTCAAAGTTCAGCTTGGACTGGTTGCCAAAATCATCGAAGCCGACAGGCATGGATTTAGGCCGAGGCGCCGAAGAAGGGCTCGAGCGGCGGTTGCTACGTGGGAGCGCCGGGCGGCCAGCGGCGCCCTGCAGGCCTCGCTTGCCGTTCTGGGGCAAATGCTTCTTGCGGAAGTCGACCTGAAAGTTGGTGCCGTTGTTGTTGTCCCAGTACTCCTGGCCATTGACGTTGTACTTGATGCAGAAGAATAGCGTCTTCGTCTCGAGGTTAGCCAGGTCGGAGAGCTTGATGCTGAACGTGAATCGGTCCTGAGCGACATGGTCGTCCTGAGCGCGAACCTCATGTGAGTATTCGGCACCGACCTCCGAGGTTGTCTTCCAGTAGTCCAGAGTGAATCTGCACGTAACGTATTTCTGGAATGCCAGGTTGGCAACTGCAACGGAGCCCAATAAGTTCTTTTGGTCGGGTGACAACCAGACCCTCTCGAGGCGGACAGGCAGGGACTTGCGGATGGGGGTATCGGCGGGGTGGTTTGCCGTGACGATCTCCCACTCGAATGGGGGAGTGCGAGCGTTCTGACGTTCCTCTCCAGGGAAGGGGTACTCGGTATCACTGTCGTAGGCGTCGACCGGCGAGGATCCGGCACTGACAGCGAGCGGCCGATCAACCTGGAGGAAATGGCGTACGTGTTCGAGGTGTGAGTCGAAGTGAACGGCCTTGGAAAAGGTCGGGGTGCCAGGCATGCTGGATGGCCGCCTGCGAGCAGAGGCGGGCCGGAGTGCGGGTCTGACGAGCTCTCCAGACTTCTTGCGTACCATTGGCGGCTTGTTCTCGAAGTTGTTACCGTCCGAATCGGATTCTGAGCCAGTGATGGAAGCCGACTCCATTACTATTCTGGGCTCGGTACTAGATCTCACATGGTTGACGCGGCGGGCGACCGTCTGAGCGAGGGCGTCCAGGGAGCTCGTGCTGAAGCTGGTGGGCAAACCCTCCTTGGGAAGGTCTTCCTTGGTGATGAGAGATAGTGCGGGCTGGTCGAGCTTGGAGCTGGTTGGGGAGGCTTCCCTCTTAACGGGTATTTGGCTGATGATGTCCTGAAGCTCCTTAAGATTGTCAATCTGCCTTCCACGCTCTGCGACGTCCTCCTCTTCGCTTCCCGAGTCGGGTGGTGAAATGATGGCGCCCTTGGGCATGCCTCGCTCGTCTGTCAGTGGCGGCGGTGATTGCCTCACACTGCTGCTGTTAGTGGCCATGCCCTTCAAATCGTCCGACGTCCCTGGTGGTGTAGGTTGGTCTGAGTTGCCATTTGTTGTGGGAGCACCTGCTGCCGCTGCCGGCGTTCTCCTGTGCTTGGTGAGGTATGATGCTGACCTTGGTAGTGACGGTCTGGGGCTGGACTGGAAGGAGGGACGTCTGCTCACGTCGGGCGATGACGGTGCTGAGCTTGCTGGCGATCGGTGGTGGGAGGGTGGTGTGTAAGGCATTCCCGCGGTTGTGTACGGAAAATGTGGTGGATGAAGGTGTGTGGTGAGGAAATTGGTATCGTGCGCCCGGCACGGCGTCAGTGTGGCGGCTCGAGGATAGTGGCGGAAAAGCAAATAGGTATCAATTCAGCGAAGAATTAAGGTGAGAGGCGGAGCGGCCGAGGATGAGCGACGAGACGCTGGTAGGAAATTAGGATTTCTGTGTTATTGGAAGGTTCCCGTCAGCTGTGTCGCGGCCATGGGAGGCTTTAGGGTTATTTAGTCGGGTAAGGAAATTGGTTGTGGTGCATCTATTCCGATGACTGAACTGATAAAAAATAAGGGAAGAAAACGAGGTAGAGAGAGTGGAAAAATTCAAGGAAAGAAAAAGAAGCTAATGGCTGTAGCGTTGGTGGCTGTGGGAAACGCAATTCCCACGATTAAGAATCAAGAACAGGACGAAGGAAAGAGGCAAGGCTGAGAAAGTGATATGGCAATGAGAAAAAAAAGGGAAAGTAGTAATGATGACGAAGGTGGTGATGTATTTTTTTTGTTGTTTTTACAGGTGTATTACGTTCTTGTGTAGGAGTCGCAGTTGACCACTTACATGGAGGGAGAGAAAGGTCGATTCAAGGAAGGCGGGCGACTGTCGAGTTTTCTGCTCTGGCAATGTTCCAGCAACAGGGCAAGAAACTTCCGTCGTGTGTTTGGTGACGAGGAATGTCGGTAGCTGGGGAGGAGGGTCCCGTGGAGATGTCGTCGAAGCAGGTGGAATGCAATGACGAGCTGGGGAAGGACGGGGACTCGAGTGTCTCGAAAGGAAGAAGGGGCCGATGGGAGGCTCAGGCGAGGCGATGAGACGTCCCTGCACGGTGGCTTGCGAGGTTCGTGGGGATCGTATGGTCGGTCAGGTTCTGGGTCGAGCTTGACTGATCGAAAAGAGGTAGAGGGTTGAGGAGACCAGCCGAATAGGTGCAAAACTATGGGGGTCAATCCTTTCCTTCCGTGCCTTGGGTCGTGACAGAGTTATGCCGTTGACTCTCTTTTTTTCGGTTGTGATGTCTCGTTCTTGGACAGGATGGGATTGGGTCTGTCCGTGTTGGAATTCTGTTCCTGCTCTTGCTTCGGGATGCAAGTGTCGTGTGTCAGGAAAGATGCAAGAAAGAGCAACGAGAAGTTGACTATCTCTTGAGACGACTTTTTTGTGCTGTGGATGTTGAGGATGTTGGACTTTGGTGTTTGGAGCACACAAAGATTGGAGAGAGAACAAGCTGATGGGCGGCTCCGGAGGGAACGGAGTGGTTTTGAATGGCGAGCGAGTTCCGAGCACCGCAGTCCGCGCCCAGTACAAAGTACCTCAGCAGAGCGTGGGAGACTGGGGGGCGGTAGCCAGGTGTGTGTGTGGTGTGTGGTGTGTGCCAGTGGTGGTTGTGTGCAACACCACCGCCGCTCCCAGCAAGAAGAGACAGGGAACGAGGAGAAAAAAGCTACCGGTACCAGGCACCTCTCAGTTCGGGTTGGTCTGGTCTGGTCTGGTCTGGCTGGCTTGGTTTTTGTCCCAGCACACCCACAGTGCCATGCCACGCCCCCAGCAAGAAAGAGACGAGCGAAAAGACTAGGTAGGACTAGGACCAGGGTCAGCGATGGGCTGCAGAACAGAGCGGCGACAGAGAGAGAGCGAGTGCAGTAGAGGAGAAGGTGGGAAATGCGTACGATGTGTGGCAGACGCCAGCCAGCAAAAGCAGCCACTTTCCCACCTCTCTGCACACAGATATCCGTACTCCGTGCCTCTGGTGGTAGTGCGTGGTGTGTTCGTACACGCCCTCTGTTCCCAGGCGGCGGGAGTCGTAGTAGCACGTACCTGATGGTCAGGAGTATCCCTGCAAGTGCGAAAGACGGCGAAAAAATCCAACAAGACCAGGGTGGCCATCGGGGGGGTGATCCTTGGTATGGGCGTGGACGTGTTCGGTCAAGCAGTCAAGCAGGGGAGGCCGGGGGAGAGCACCGGGGTGTGGTGGTGGTGGAGAAGGATGTTGAGTGTGGGAGAGCGAGAGAGAGAGACGAAGAGAAGATGAAGGCGAGGAACATGGCGCACAGCTGCTGCTGCACCTCACAGCTGCTGCGAGGATGAGCAGCAGCAGCAACAGAAAGTGGGTACATCAAAGAGTACGTACTTACTACGTACTTCGCTCATGGCACCGGGGGAAGGAGGGAAGGAGAGAAAAAGGTTGGGGTGTGGCTGGAGCAAGATTCAACGCTAAGCAGCGCGGCGGCGACGGGGTGTGGGGCCCGCCAGACCAGACCGAGAAAGGAAGAGCAGGGAAAAAAAAATTAGGAAAGAGCGACCATCCAGCAAAAAACTAAACAAGACGAGGCGACGCTGCGTGGGATGGTGGCACGGAGACGGCAAGCCGGCTGGGCTTTGGGCTTTGGGCTCGACAATTTGCTGCTTGCGTTGAGGACCGCCCTTTACAGAGAGAGTACTCACGTACTGAACATAGGTATCAGTTGGGTACGGATATCATTCTACATGTCTACTGTGGCATGGCACTCGACCTGGCTTGGATTGCCTCATTCTAGGTATTCGTCCATCAATCCATCCATAGCTATGCAGAAGACACAGAAGATGCACTCGGGCACTCGAGGAGCTCCAAAGTACCGTCTGCAGAACGTGAACATGATCGAGGCCGCAAGGTATCCTGCCCGGGGGAGCTTGCTGACGATCCAGGGCACCTAAATCCTGCATGTCCATCACCGCCGCCAACACCATTTGCTGCCTTTCCCGTTGTTGGTCGTCCACCATGGAGAGAGGTGGAGGAGGCCGACACGCACGACACGACAAGAGTGCTCCGCTGCAAGTTACCTGACACTGACGGTCTTGTATCAACTGGAGGTGGGGGTTTCCATCTTGGCCATGGAGAAGTGAGAACCTGAGAGGAGAGAAAACAGGATGGCGTTGGCGTGATGTTGGTGGTGCAAGAATGGCAGACGAGCGCCAACGAAAGCCAGAGCGAGTATCTGTATCCATACGTATTCTTAATTATCTGTAGGCGCTGGCAAGCCTTGCTGCAGTCACGCCCTCCCTCCCTTTCTTTCTGTTATCTACCATACGTAGTACCTAAGTATGCTTCTCAGTTTCTCCTTCGCCTCCCGCGAGCCCCTTCTGCCACAGTTTAGCCAAGTACAGTAGATTGGCAACTGGCCCAAGACTTGGAGAAGCCCGAGGCGGAGGCGGAGACGGCGGCGGGCTGACTTGGGAGGCTTGAAGATGCGGGTGGTTGATTCCAGGCCTGGTCTTGCAAGTTGCCCGGGCTTGGTTCGCATTGCATCTGGTTCGTGCCTTTCCTGCCAGTAGGTATGTATTTCCTTGGACGAATGAAGAAACATGTGTGAGATGGATGCATGGGTGTTTGGCCACTGGGCAGAATCTCTTCTAGATGAGCACGGCAGATGTCAATTGGGAGGTGGGATGAGAGACAAGACAATCGTCGCTCTCTCTGAATGTCTGTTCCATCTTTCCCCCCTCCTTTCTCTTCTTCCCGCAATGATCGATGGCTGCTACCGGCCGGTACCGTTGAGGCCGTCCCCCCTCCGGTATCGAGGGTTTCTGGGTGCGGGAGGAAGGACGTTGAGGTTTCCGGTAGAGTCAGATCAGATCAGCGATGACCGGGCCCTGGCCATCCACCCACTCACCCCACCCTGCCTGTCATGTCCATAATCTCCACGCTTAGCCAGGCCTGGCACGCCTGTCCGTACTCCGTACAGATATGCGAATGCTGAGCCAATCCATGTCGCGACGACGCGCAGTGCGAGGTGCCGGGAGCGGACAAAGGTTGAAACATGAAGTCGCTGGAGGAGAGCAGGGACAGGCGGGGAAAGGTGAGGAAGCCAAAGTTCCGTCCGGGGAGAGGCTCATAAGGTATGCTGTAGCAGGGGCGGGACGGGAGGAGTAAGCAGTCCGGTCTGATTATGCTGCCGCCTTGGTTTCTTGGTTCTTGGTCTGAAGTGGTGGTGGTGGTGGTGGTGGTGGTACACGTCTTCTCGGTCAGGCACTCTACCTAAGGTAGACTGATCAGTGATGGGAAGCAAGTGGCAGAGCAGTTGAGCCACAGCAACCAGACACAGTACGGGAAAGAACGTACCGGGGTGACTAATGCACAGTACAAAGTAGACCATCGTTGATAGGACAGTACGGATCCTGGGTGGGTGCTTCCTTCTCTCCTTCGCAAAAAGAATAGGAGTGGAAAACTTCAAGATGCGCTAGCAGGGATGAAGAGAAAAACGTACCGACTGGGTCAAAGGTGGGAGAAAGAGACCGGGGGCAGGAGCAGGGACAGGGTTCCTAGTCAATTTAGCGTTGGTGCTGATGTAAAATAATGGTTCCATCATTCTCTCATCAAAGAGCATGACAACCCGCAGAAGCAGCTCTCTCTCAAGAGACTCAAGACTCGATAGCTTCGATAGTGGTAACCGTAGGTACTCCATCATGTAGGGTAGAATTGGTATGGAGCCTGTCTGTACGACACCACTGCTGCAGAATGGCCTGAGGTTTCGATTCCCGTCTCAGTCATTCGGTGCCATAGAAGAAGCCGGAGAGCAATGCAACGTTGAGAGTTGTCGGATTGGCATCGAACTGCTCATGCCGGAATCGTGCCCGTAGAAGCTATTGGCCTATCCTATCCGTATCCGTAGTCGACACTGATACATTGTCGAAGATATACATCTTGGCGCAATGTGCGGGAGTCGAGAGTATCAGGTCTGTCCTTGTCTCGTTCCAATATCGACCGACAAATCGAAAAGAGTTGGGACGAAGAGAGTGTCTAAACTTGGCATCCCGCCGCCTAGCAGAGCATCGCGACGCATCCAGTCGGCTCAAGTTTGCAGGTGGTTGGAAGATTGAGGCAGTTGACGATCAAAGTGTTTGCGGCTCCAGCCGGACATTGGCCTCGAGAGTTGTTGGCCCGGCACTACCCCATACCTGCCTCCTTGAAGTTGTATTAGCCTTTTCCTCAACAGTCTGTATCTGTAGCACCGTGTTTCGGTGCTTGGTGATGCTCCCACCTCTGCTTGCTCTAGCTGATTTTACCCCAGACCATCAAGCCGCCGTTTGGTCTTGATCGTTCTCAATTAGCTTCGCCATGTCTCGAATCTCCTTTGCATCAGTGGCCGCCATGCCGCGGCATACCTCATCCCGTACGGAAGACGCTGTTGGCAGGGCGGCCGGTATGAGAGAAGGCTGTTTCCATCGTCATCGTGCCGGGGACGGAGATTATGGCGCCCTCTTGTCTCTCTCTGCAAAGTCTGAGGTGCGTGCCTTCCCTCCTCTCCCGGCTCTCGCTTGCCTTCGGCACTGTACACTTGACACGGCCCCACGTTGCTTTCAACACGGGCAGAGGGCAGCATCGACCACCCCCAGTCGGCTCAGCCCAGGCCAAACAGCCCAGGCCCATGCCGTAAAGAAAGAAGCGAAGACGCAGGCACAGACCGGCGCAGGCAGGCCGCTGCCCGCAGGCGAGCAATGGCAGGCACGGCAGGCACTGAGGCAGGCAAGGAAGGCATGGGTTCACGTTTTAGAAGCAATTGCCCTGCCCTGCCTCCAGGTACCTGCCCTTGCCCTGTCCCTTCTCTCCTGTCTGCCCGGGACCGGAACTGACGTCCTTGCCCGCGCGCGCACACCTTGCTGTCGGTACGACTTGACCTGCGCGCACTGCTTGCGACACCCAGAACAAGCCATAGAAGGGACAGGGCAGTCTCGTAATAGACGAAACAAGCCCCAACCCTTCCTCCCCAGTACCTTACCTAGGTATTATCCCCCCAGCACAAGGAGGCTTCCATTGTCATTTCACGATGCTCGTTTGGAACACACACGGATGGGGAAAACCAACTCTCAGGCGCAAAAGATCCGGTGAAAAAAGTTCGCAAAAGTTTGGGTCGAGGGAAAGAATGATGTCATTGTTGATTGAAATTGTCATTGGCGGCAGGTGCACCTACCATTGTCGTCGCGTCGTCCGCCCGCTCTTTCTCGCTTGACTGGGCAGTTAGCTTGCTTCCCTTGCCTCTTTTGGGTGCGTGCCTGCCTCGCAGCTCCAAGGCGAAGACGCAAAGCATCGTGAGTTTTTTTAAGTGGGGGAGAGGAGCTGTCCTTAGAGGTACTCCTCGTCGAAACAACACTTCACTCCCACTCCCTCTCCCACTCACGATCCAGCCACACCACGACGTGTGGCCCACGACGGGTGCACGATTTCTCGGGTCGCTAGCACTCCCTTTCTATCCGATTCGGCCCACGATCCATATCGGCGGATAGCAGAAGCCGCACATTACATCACCTTCAAACGTTTGACCTTATCTCGACCACCTCGTCTTATCGGAGACGTTTTACCGGTATCTTCCATCCTTACCTATGGAGTAGAGTACGTTATCAGGAATCTCGAAACCACTAAGCTGCCTGACTGGATGTCTTTTGTACGGAAGGTGTCATTCTGACTCTTGTCGGGCGAGGCGCGTCTCGGTCGCGTCTCACGGTCAGCATGCCTTCTATGCACCCTCTACTTTGTCTCTCCAAGTACACCGCCAGCCTGGTTCCCAAAGACATTGACTGTCGCCGTCGTTGAAGAATGGACGTGGCCACGACTCGAGCAACCGTTCGATATCGGTCCCAGCCCTGCTCAGCTCGAACTTTATCAATGATTGGGGCAGCCCACCTGGGGATTCTGGGAATACTTGACCCGCCGTTGACACGCAGCAAAGACAAAAAAGAAATGGCTCCAGTATCTGCCCCCCGCGGCCCCGTTCTGATGATCTGATCGGCCGGCGCCCGTCCGCAGACAATAACGGAGCGAAATAAGGCCATGCCCCCGGGTCCTCGCCTGAAAGCAACAGCGACACGAAGCAGAACCAATGGTGGAACCAACACTCGAGACACTGGACGAAGATGGGGGATGGGAACATGGATGTGAAGGACAGGGAAGGGACAAGCAAAAGAAGACTGGTAAAGGGAAGAAAAAACGATACC